TGGACCCTCCCTGGTCTGACCCAGCAGGGCTCTTCTGAGGTTCTTCTGATCAGGGGAAAGCTTCGGCCTCTCTGCCCTGTTGCTGGCCCTCCAGAGGAACTGGCTGGCCATGGTGTGAGACAAGATGCTGGACTGGATGGACCCTCAATGGTCTGATCCAGCAGTGCTCTTCTGATGTCATTATCAGGGGAAGGCCTCGGCCCCTCTGCCCTGTTGTTGGCCCTCCAGAGGAACTGGCAGGCCACTGTGTGAGATGGGATGCTGAACTAGGTGGACCCTCACTGGTCTGATCTGGTAGGGCTCTTCTTGGGTTCTTATGTTCATGAGGACTGTTTGCAGAGGAATTTTATTAGTTGGAATGTAGCAGGAGAAAAGAGCCAGAGTCCAGCAGCACCTTCAAGACTAACCACATTTGGGGTAGTGACTAGAGAAGTGAGCAGGGACTCACGAAAGCTCCTCCCCTGCCACAAATTGGGTTAGTCTTCGAGGTGCTCCTGGACTCTGGCTCTTTTCTGCTGCTGCAGACAAACACGGCTACCCATCTGGCTCTACCTTGTGAAGGAATTCGGGTGCTTCACATCACAGGGGTAATAAAAGTAAACATTATCTTTCTCACAGCTAGGAAAAAATGTTTATTCTCTGGGCAATACCTTCTTTCATGTTGGATCTTTGGTCTCTCTCTTTTTTGCTTCTGGTTCGCTTATGTCTAATGTTTGTTTGTGGGCAGAAATGCATATGGCCGATGCTCCCTCTAAGCTGTGGAATCTTGTGAGCAAAAATTCAACTTTATGAGCTACTGGCATTAAAGTTGAGAGCAAGCGATTTGTCTACTGCATAAATGAGTTTGCTCTGGAGCCATCTTGCTGGGAAGGCCCTGTGGATGGGATCGCCATGTGTTTGTCGCAACCGGGTGGCACATTCTCTTTCTTAATGGGGTATAGGCTTCAGTGTATTTTACTGGTAATGGGGTTATTTAGGGTTTTACTGCATTTTGTTTGTTTTTAGTTGGATGTGTAAGCCACCCTGCACAATGGGAAAAGGCAAGATACCAATATCTGAATAAAATAAATATTTTATTGAGTAGCTTGTATACATTGTATTCAGAGTCAATCATATTTCCAACAACCCAATCACGCGTGTCATTACTACTGTCCCCACTGGGGAATTTGAGGAGGGTCTACATAAGGTCATCTATACAGGTCAGCGCAAGGCAAGATTTGAACCAGGGTCTTCCCATTCCACAGCTTGGTTCCTCAGCCATGAATGCAGTGCTCAGACACCACTCAGAACGCAAGGAGTTCATTCTTGCTGTACCATGGAGACACTGCAGGATATCACCAGTGAGAAAGCCAGTGAGACAACGGAGAAAGAAGTACAAAGAGCTCGTGCTTTTTCTTCAGACAAATTCAATTGGATATAAATGGCTATTTCCAGAAGGCGTCACTTTCAAGATTAAGGACAAAAAAGAAAAGATTGACTCTGTTCCGAAAGCTCAAGAATTCCTAAGGGCTCAGTTGGGAAGACCAGAGGACGGGGAAAAAAGAAGAGAACAGCAAGTCTAGTGGCGAGCTGGACTCGGGTTCTTCCGGAGAGGACTCTCTGTCAGAACAAGGGGCAGCAGCCCCCAAAAGTCCTTATAAGTTGCGGAAGAGACAATGAAAGGAGAAGTAAAGGCTGAAGGACTCTGAATTGTGCCTTTGTGAACTTTGAAACGGGATGATCGGGGGTACTGTTTGCAGACAGTTTAAATTTAAGCTTAAAAGAAAAGTATTAACTTTAAATGCTTGACTCAGTTTATAATGTTATAAATGATGGGAAGATTGAATGTAATTAAGCTAGTTGGAGGATCTCCCCTCTTGGGATTTTAGTTAGTAGTGGGTCCTTTGCTTTATCCCGTAAATGTAGTTTCCCCTCCCCCTTTTCTGTTGTAGTTTTTGTAGTGATATAAAAAAAATAAAAAAATCCTCTCTGGGGGCTTAAAAAAAAAGAGAAAGCCATGTCCTCTAGAGATGGTGGAGGGGGTGGAGGGGGAAGGTGGCAGGGCTATAAATCCTGAACTTAGCATCCACTGTGGACGAAAAAGGGACAGTAAAGCAGGGGAATATCCGGCATTGGAGAAGACATACAAGCACATCTCTTCTGCAGGGTCCTGGTGAGATCTGAGGACCCAGGGCACACAGGGCAGAAGCCAGGATTTTTTTTACAGGGGGGGGCGCATTTAAATAAATCGAGGGGCACTGTGTCTGGAGTAACAAGAGAGTAAACGGTTTTAGTAAATGTAGTTTTCCCTCCCCCTTTTCTGTTGTAGTTTTTGTAGTGATATAAAAAAAAATTAAAAAATCCTCTCCGGGGGGGCTTAAAAAAAAAAGAGAGAAAGCCACGTCCTCTAGAGAGGGTGGAGGAGGGGAGGATGAGGGTGGCAGGGCTATAAATCCTGAACTCGGCATCTGCTGTGGATGAAAAAGGGACAGTAAAGCAGGTGAATATCCGGCAGTGGAGAAGACATACGAGCCCATCTCTTCTGCAGGATCCTGGTGAGTTCTGAGGACCTAGGGCACACAGGGCAGAAGCCAGGAGTTTTTACTTGGGGGGGCATTTAAATAAATCGAGGGGCACTGTGTCTGGAGTAACAAGAGAGTAAACAGTTTTAGGAAGGTGACAAGGGACGGGGGCTGGAGTAGGCAGGCAGGGCAGGGCAAAAGCTCGGCTCAGCATGGCTGTGGTGCTCGTGAAAAATAAAATAAAATAAAATAAACCAGCTAGATGGGAAGTCAGGAGGCCTGGGTGGTAAGTTAGGGGGGCCCAGCCCCGAGGTGCCCCAATGTAGCTATGAGCCTGCATGGCACCCCTGCGTTTTAAACCCAACTTGGATTCCTGCAACCACACAGCAACTGTGGGGAATATATATATTTTTTTAAAAAAAATGGAGAGACCAAATGCTCTCAGAATGCCACCGTGGGGGAATCATAGAATGTTCAGAGTTGGAAGGAACCTTTCAGGTCATCTAGTCCAACCCCCTGCGCTCTGCAGGAGCATAGCTGAAAGATAGCTCTACAACATCCCTGAAAGATAGTCCAGCCTCTGCTTGAAAACGTCCAGCAAAGGAGCATCCACCACCTCCCAAGGCAGACTGTTCCGCTGCTCCACCACTCTTACAGCTAGGAAGTCTCTCCTGATATTTAGCCGGTATCGACCCCCTTGTAATTACCACCCATAAGAACTAGTTTTGCAATCCGGAGCAAGAGAGAAGAGATCTGCTCCATCTTCTACATGACAGCCCTTCAGATACTTGAAGACTGCAGTCATGTCCCCTCTAAGCCTTCTCTTTCCCAGGCTAAACAGACCCAACTCTCTCAGCCTTTCCTCGTAAGACTTGGATTCCAACCCTCTCACCATCCTGGTTGCCCTCTTCTGGACACACTCATAGAATCATAGAATGTTAGAGTTGGAACGGACCTTGGTCATCTAGTCCAAACCCCCTGCACTCTGCAGGAGCAGAGCCGAAAGATAGCCCTACAACATACTCGAAAGATAGTCGTCCACTTGAGCTTGTCAACATCCTTCCTAAAATGTGGTGCCCAAAACTGGACATAGAAGAAGGGCTCCTGCCTTCCCTTCCAAGTCATTTCCCCCCACAAAAACAGCACTGGGGGGGGAGTTACTCCCCCATCTTTGCTGCACTTTGTGCACATGGAACAGCCAAAATAGGTAAATCCTTCCCAGCAGCACTTTTTCTGTGTTGGGAAATGGGTCACACAGGAAGGCAGGAGCCCCTCATCCCCCTGCAGTGGTGTTCTGAGCCCGTTTGGGCT